GTAAGAAGAGAAGTGTATTTGTGTGTTTTTGTGTGTGTGTGTGTGTGTTTGAGTATGTGTATCTGTGTGAGTGTGAGTGTGTGTGTGTGTGTGTGTGTGTGAGAGTGAGTGTGTGTGTGTGTGTGTGTGCCCATGTGTTTGGATTTGTGTGTGTTTGAGTGTGTGTGTGTGTGTGTGTGTGTGAGTGCAGTGAGTCAGCACAAGGTCACTGTGTAGCAGATGTAACTGGAGTGAGATTGGAGTATCTGTCTCAGACAGCAGCAGTACTGGGATGCAGAATGTGAAATGCTACAGCAAGATGTGTGCAGTAAAGAGCTCATATTGTCAGCCAGAGGTCAAAGAGATAAGAGTCAGTGCAACAGCACACTCTGCAAACATGGAATTAATCAACCTGCAATTAATGAAACACCAATGGAAACAAAGGAAATGGCTGTCAATACAGTGATAAGAATGGAAAATAGCTTGAGTGTGTGTGTATGTGTGTGTGTGTGTGTGTGTGTCTGTGTGTGTGTGTGTGTGTGTGTGTTTGTGTGTTTTCACCTCCGGCTGAGTTGAGGTGGATGAGCAGAAGATCATCTCCTGACCCCAGTTTATCGGTAACAGCGGCGATGACCTCTCTGACAGATGCAGCGACAGGCACTCGGATAGTGGAGTAGGTATGATCACTGCAGTACACCTTAAAGAGGACTTCAACAAAACACACACATATTTGAAAAGAACATTGACATTGAAACATTGATAAATAATTTTTTTTTTAAATAATAAAACAATAATAACTTCATCACTTCACCACAGAATAACTTCAATCTATCTATCTATCTATCTATCTATCACATCTGTGAAATTAACCAAAGGAGAGAATAGTGTTCTGTCAGTCACAACAGAGAGCAGATACAGACTCACTCTCATCTGTGCTTCTGATCGGCTGTTTCTTCTGCAGTCTGTCGTTCCCTGTGCTGAACTGACGCAGCAGGACTTTGTGCTGAAATGAGAGAGAAGGACTATCACATGACACTTATTCAGCACTGAAGAGAATACTACAGAAACTCTGTTTGTTTTTATGGTCCCCTCACCTTTTTCTGAGAAGGCCGGCCATCCTCACAGCTGTGAATAAATGTTATGAGTGTTATGATTATGAGCAAGTAAAAGGTTTCTCTGAACTTTCCCAGTCTGATATCTTAACCCTATAAAGCCTGCTGTGTTATGTTTGATACACACATTACTAAGGCCTCTACATTATCAACATGATCAAAAAATGAAAATTGATAATCCATTCAACTTTTTTTTGTTTTTGTTTTTTTGAAAAATCATGTTAAAATGTATCACATATGATTTATTGTTCATCTGTCAGACATCATTGCATTGCATGACATTATGTTTTGCTCCCACAATAAAAAAACTACAAAGCTTTGATGATAAAACTAAACATTTAAATATCTACTTACTAAGACATTAGATATAGAGTGACATCTGATATTTATATGCATATATATAAGTAATTTGTCATACTGTTATAAGGATCTCAATGATTTACAATACAAGCTATCTGAATATCATCTTACTTTTTGGTCTTATAAATATCAGCATCTTTACCAAATTGCATAATTTTTTTCTCAGGGCCTCTGAATAAAACTTATGTGTTTTTTCCACCTTGAGTATAAGCTTCATATTATCACTATATCATAGTGAGCAACAAAAGCTGGATGTATCAAATATAATACCCAACAAAAACACATATGCGGATTTTAAGGTTCTTTTAAGGCTAATGTTCTGTTTAAAAAAAATAAGATGCTTCTGACTATTTCTTCATATGTCTAAACAGGGTTGAAAATCTCTGATCTTGTAAGACTGTGCTCTTACTTCTGTTTGATGATCTTCACTAGTTCAGGCAGCTGGTCTTTCAGAGCTGGGATGCGTCCGGAATCTTCACACACTGTCTCATTAAACTCCTGCAACAAACAACACGCTCAGACTGACACACACTAAATCACAGCGGGACCCGAAAGGCTCTAGAAATGACATTAACAGCTTAACTTGAATCAAGCAGCACTGCTGAACAGATCAGAGCAGTCCTGAGTCAGGTGAAGCTGCTGACCTGGAGGAAGTTGAAAGAGCTGTCCTCCTCCTGCAGGTGGTCTGTGTTGATGGCGGCCCACTGTAAGACCAGGCGAATCACCCTGCGCTTGTTATTGTGAGCGTAGTCCATCCGCTCCTGTTCACTGCCCTGAGACGGCTGAGCATGATAGGTGAATGAGAGCTAAGGACTTCAAAGCCACACGCAAGTGCAATCTGAGAGTTCAGTAACCCTCTCATCTGTTGAATAAAACAATGTTCATAAAGGACACAGCTATGGCATATTGACCATCTTAACCAAGTTGATGAACTACAGAGACTTCAGTTACGCATTTCACCAATCAGTCAGTAGAGCTGTAAAGGATATTGGGCCATGAGCAGTGGACACAGCTGACTGTTTGGGACAAAAACACAGTGCATAAGCAAAAAGTCATCCAGAGCAGGATCTACAGAGACAGAGAAAAGAAAAGTTATTGACTTCTTCAGTAAATGCATGTTATGTATGTTTCATTTATGCACTGTATAATGTATATTTACAGAGTTGCCACTCTTGATTTTCCCAGGACATTTCCAGTTGTGATTACTGTGTGTGATTCCTGGATAAAGACTTTTGATTGTTGATTTATTAATGAATCATTGACACCATTTTTCCACCTGTTTGACGGATTCATTAAAAATGAATCAAAACAATTTGCTCAAAAGAATATCACTATGGCTTGCAAGCAAGTTTTACAAATGCTGTACAAAAGGGCAATATCTATACTACCGTTCAAAATTATGGGGTTGGTAAAATGTTTACTGTTTAATAATTTTGTGATATAATTCTGAAATATTATTACAATTCTAAATAACGATTTTATATTGTAATATATGTTAAAATGTTATTTATTCCTGTGATGTAAAGCTGATTTTTCAGCATCATTACTCCAGTCTTCAGTGTCATATGATTCTTCAGAAATCATTCTGATATGCTGATTTGCTGCTCAAGAAACATTTCTGATTATTATCAATGTTGAAAAACTTTTTGATGAATACAAAGTTCAAAAGAACAGCATTTATTTGCAGTAGAATTTTTTGAAACATTATAAATGTTTTCACTGTCACATTCAACAATTTATTGCATCCTTGCTGAATAAAAGTAATTTATTTCAAAAAAAAAAAAAAAGAAAGAAATTGTAAACAGTAGTGTATATGATGACATTTTAGGGATCAGCATACAGTAACATGAAAAATGTTCACTATATGAATCTCCATGACTTTTCGAGTCGTGGAAAACTTTAAAAATCCATCATATTTCCTGGTTTTCCATTAGTGTGGGAAACATTGCATTGTTTATTAATTGAACGCTTATGTGACTAACTATGATGGTCAGATCTGCTCATATTTTAGGCCAAACAGGAGTCCAGATAATTCTGTAATAACTTCATCTCAATAACGAACAAAACTTGAAGCATGTGCAAAATAGAAAAATTGCATTGCATTTAGCCACTTCCTGCTTCATTATTTAACTGCATATTATTTTTCTCTCACTGAACGCACTGCAAAGCACCTGACTCTGTGAACTGGGAGTCGAGCTTCATTGTCTCCAGAAGATGTTCCAGAATCTTCTCTGGAGTTCCTGACATCACCGTGTACCTGAAGAACAGATGCACAAAGCTCACGCATTGACACGTAGTTTGAGGTTATACAGTTTGCCGTTATTTCATAGTAGTCTTCCATTCTTAATGTTAAAATTGACAGAAGAATAGAAATGTACTTGAGAGGAGAGGAACTGGAGCTCCTGTTTTTAGTTTTCTCCAAAACTAACACATCCTCCTCATGTTCCTTCAGACGGACCGTGTTTGCCTCCACATCCTGAATACACACACAGATGAAACAGAATTAGATTTAATCATAACAAATCAAATGTAATGCACTAACATCTGAAATGACTGGTTTGGTCACTCAACAGACAGCACTGATGTGCTTAGCTAATGGTGGATTAGTGCTGTTGTGATAGTGTTCAGGACATGAGCTATTGGATGTCAGCAGTTTAGCAGCAATACGCAGTAAACTCACTATTACAGCACTGAACCGAGAGCTCAGGTCATACAGCTGAATTATGAATGATCGAATGGAGGTGTTTGTCACTTAAAGTGTTCCACAATGTCACTTAGGTAATGTACTGTTGTAAAGCATCATCATTACCAGTAGAGGGAGACTAATACTCAAGTTACAGCTGGGGTTCTCAACCTATTTTGTCTGAAGGTCTGTGATAAATTACTACTATTTACTTTAAGTTAGAAATTACTTTTAAAAAGTACACTTGAGATTTTAAGTAATGTTCTAACCTTTCAATTAATATGTTGCATAGGGAAGACAGAGGCATGCTGTCGTTGCATTAACATATGCAGCTGTATTTTATCAACTGTTTGTTTTTTCTTGAGTAATAACGTTCAGTAGTTTGTATTCAAGAATTTAAGGTTTATACAAAAACTGAGTGTAAAAAATAAATCTACTCTGTGAAATAAGGAAGAAGTGTGACAACTAGCCCCGGTTTCCCGATAAGATCTGAAACTTATGTTAAATATTGCATTTTTTAAGACTTTGTTCTTCACCATTTCTATCAGTTGCATTCATCATACATCCTAAGTGATACATTGCTTTTGTCCAGTTGCATGATCATGTGTAACAATGCAATAAATGAACCTAGAATGTGAAATCTCACTAAATCTCCCTATATTTGTTTAGATAGTAGGCATCCTTTTTGTGTCTGTGCCAAAGACACACTAACAGCCACACACACACACACACACACACCCTCACTATCAGCACTATCAGACTGAGCTTCCGCTTAGACGCTGCTCCGGCTTTCCTGAGCTCAGCTCTCTATTGTCAGAGCGCTGGGAGAGAGATTCTCCTGTGCTGCTGATGGATGCACCATTATACAATACACACACACACACACACACACACAAATGCAGCCAGAGAAAACAATTAGACGATAATTAAATAGTCATTAGGCCAACAGTACACAAGCAAAAATTTAATTATGGGAAAAATGTAATTAAGGGAATTATGAAGTGACAAAATGTTAATCATGACTCTCTTATATTTAAGCTTCTTCTTTGTCTAGATTCTGGACAGTTGCATCCTGGGATGTTTTTCAGTATTGCTTGACAGTACTGAAGGAGTTCATATGTATACAGCTTATAAGCTTCACACTATTTTTAATTAAAATATTTGGTTTGTAATTAAATTCATGTGATGGTATCGGAGTTCCCCTTCAGGAAATCAAGTTGTGTCGAAATGCTTTGGGAACGTGTCTGCGTGACTACGCACTGAAACACGTGTGTAATCAGTCCAATGAAATCATGTGACGTCACCGGCGGGGATGACGTAGCGACCAGGAAGTATAAAAGCACATGCGGTGGAGAGAGCGGCAGCTTCTGTTGTTCAGTAAGAGCTCTATGTGTGTTCGTCTTATTTATTGTTGTCTGTCTTGAAAAAGTATCTAAAAAATGGCAAGCAAAGACAAGAAAACTGAAAAGAAGTGTTCATCCCTGCCTGCGCTTCATCACGGGTGGGGATACACACAGTTTGTGTGTTGCTTGTCTGGGAGCGGAGCACGCTCGAGGGAGCTGACTGTCCGCATTGTGTTCGCCTCACGATGCGGACGCTCCGCTCCCGGAGAGCGCTCTTTGAGGAGGGTCTTCTGCCGAGGCAGAGCGGCGACTCAGATTGTGGGGTTCGCAAATGGATGTGGCAAGAGTGCAGTTATGGGAAGATTCCCCGTGTTGAAGAGACGTTTGCTGGCTATCTCTCGCCCAGTGGTGCATCGTCCCTCAAGGCCCTGGTGTTACCCACCAAGCCGCTTAGGACTTCTTCGGCTTTGGTGGGTAAAGCATACACGTTTTTTTTTTTTATTTATTATTTTATTCATCGGTGTTGAAGGCATATCAGGCTGACCTGCTAAAAGAAATGGATGAGGGAGAAGAGATTAAGAATGACGATATTGCAGAGCTACGTCGGGCCACAGATTTGTCGCTTAGATTTGTTGCTGATTGCCACCGAAAGACACCTGTGGTTGACCCTGTCCAATATCAAGAAAAAGACAGGGTCTTTCTCCTGAATGCCACGCTAGTGCCTTTTGGACTGTTCGGCGACACTGTAAATACAGTCGTCGACAGATTCCAGGAGGCCAAGAAACAAGCGGCGGCGTTCCAGGAATTTCTCCCTCGCCGCTCTCATGGGGCTGATAGGTGGGATCAGCCCCAGCCGTGTACAAGCTCTTCTCACAGAGAAGTCCAGAAACCACTCGTACTCCCCCACAAAAAGAACAGGAGTCGAGGCGGCGCTCCAGGTCAAAGGCCATTGAGGTGGTCCCTCCTCGCGACAGAGAGTCCAGGTTTTACAGTCGGTACTTCATTGTTCCAAAGAAGGATGGGGGATTGCGTCCAATTCTAGATCTGCATCTGTTGAACCGCTCAGTCATGCGGTTAGGTCCACTCTCAGAAAGTCAGCCAGGTCCAAGGACTGGTTTGTCACGAAAGATCTTAAAGACGCATACTTCCATATATCCATCATTCTCAACACAGGAAGTTCCTGAGGTTTGCTTTCGGGGTCAAAGCTTCCCAATATCGGGTTCTTCAGTTCGGCCTTGCACTTTCACCCCGCACGTTTACCAAGTGTGTGGATGCTGCTCTGGCTCCACTGCGACTCCAGGGCATCCGCATACTGAATTACATCGATGATTGGTTGATACTAGTTCAATCAGAGCAGATAGCGGTTCGGCATTGATATGTCATTCTTGCTCACATGAAACGGTTGGGGTTAAGACTAAACGCAAAGAAAAGTGTGCTTTCCAGTACAGAGGACCACTTATCTAGGCGTAGTGTGGGATTCGACCACGATGCAGGCACGTTTGTCTCCAGCTCGAATCGACAACACATCGGTGGTCTCCTATATAAATCGGCAGAGGGTCTGCGTTCGCGCCCCCTTTACAGGCTGGTGCGATAGATCCTTCTGTGGGCCCAGGGGAAGCTGCTCTCACTGAGGGCAGTTTATATCCCGGGGCACCTCAATCAGGAAGTAGACATCCTGTCGAGGCAGGGGCTGAGGCCCGGGGAATGGAGACTCCACCCAGAAGTGGTGGAGCAGCTCTGGAGGAA